AGAAGAAATAAGAATAATAATAAATGTGTTGTGGGAAAAATTTCACCCAAAAGTACGCTTTCTATTTTCTTAACTTATCAGACACATTAGATTGTATATACAGTATCATTAAATTACACCTTAAAAGAAAATATCAGGAGAAAAAAATACATCAAAATGCTAAAAGTGATGATGACTGGTAGAATTACTTTTTAAATTCTGTATATACAAAATTATGAAGCAAACAAACAACAGCTCTTGACCATATACAGAAAAACTACACCTAACAAAGATTTCACCTTGTTCTATTCTAGCGAAGACATTTTAAAGTTCTCTTTGTTTTAATGCCCTGACCTCTTTCCATCCTTCCGATGACGTCTTGAAACCACAGCAGGTCATCACAGGAGAAAGGTTTCTGGGTTGAAAGCCACCTGCCTGACCTGCCCGCTGCAACTCTTCAGTGGGCTTCCCGGCACCCTATTTACACTTTGCTTCTGACGGGCACCCGTCAGTCGTCCAGGCCCTCTCACCTGGAGTACCACTATGTATTTAGAACTTCACCTGAGAAAGAGTATGCAGCGTTAGCTCATGGCACAGTGGAGGCGGCTAAAAATGGTGCCGGGAGTCTCTGTTCTCAAACCAGAGCTATTAGGTAAGAACTACTTGGGGTTCAGGAAAAGAGAATGGATACACAGTACCCAGAGAGCCTTTCCTGGCAGGAGCCAAAGCAGCCAGAGCTGTAAGGGCCCAGCCCATGTGGCGCGGTGGCGGCCGCCGGTCAGGACCCAGGGCGGGCTCCCAGACTGCCCCACGGGGCCTTACCATGGCTTTGTTCTCCTTGATGTTCATGGTCCTTTTCAGCAGCGCATCCGAGGTCTCCTGGCCCTCATCCCTGGAGTCCTCTTCAGACTCAGAGGCAGAATCTTCCCTTTCCTTCTCCTGCCTACAGCTTTTCTTTCTCCCGAGAATTGCTTTTTTATTGTCCTGGAAGTGGGAGCTGGAAAACAGTGGCTCAGAACAACTGTTTTTGTCGGGTTTTTTCGCCAGTTTCTTGGCAGGGAACTGCAAGGCTACTCGAAGACCAATGCTACTTCTCCTGGGTCTGCTTCTTCTAGGCGTCGTCGCCTTTTCTTCATCATCATCTTCCTCTTCCTTACTTCCTAACGATGCTTTACCGTCGTCACTCAAATCCGACTGGTTGCGCTAACACAATGACAAAAAAGCAAAGACATTGATTGTCTGTAACAAGCTTTCAAAAAGACATCTTTAAAACCGCTCTGACATTATTTTAGGGAAAAAAAATGAATCGCTGCAAGAGTCCCCTTCCTGTGATTAGCTCCGTCTGAACTCTTCAGTTCAATGCTCAAGTCGTGTGCTGACGAATAAAACCAAGAGCAGGCCTGTGACTGCACTCTGCCCCAGCCCCAGCCACCGGCAGACGGGGTTCCACTCGGAGACTCGGGCTGGAAGCAAAACACTGACCAAGTGGACGCCTCCACAGTGGAACAGCCAGGATGGCACACCTGGAGGCCAAGTCACATGAGGAATAGTCAGAGAAAAGGGTGTGCGTGACATAAGTCATCTTCAGATGAAAATGGGAGTGCCTCAGGAAAAAAAAAAAACTATCTGCCCAAAAAACAGCAATAGGACTCATGAGTAAAAAAGGGAGAGCTGACTGCACCTCAGTGAAGTGACCAGGCAGGCGGCAGATAACCTGCCGGGGGGTCAGTGGGAACCTCATCTCCAGGACAGGACGGGCCTTCCTCCAACGTAAGTAAGTAAGTGTCTCTCCCTTTTCTGTAACGGCAGGGCCCTGGGCCGGAGTTAAGGGACACAGCTCAGCAGGCTGCTGTGGAACACCATTCAGTCGGCTCAAGAAAGTCTCACCCCCAGTTTTCAAACCCCACTTGGTATGTCTCCAGCATTAAAACATAACTCAGTTTTACACGGGAGGACACAGGGAGAATGGAAAGCAATGGCAGGTGACATTACCCAGGGGACAGTGGACAACATCGCAGATGCGAGGGTACTCCTAGCAATAATAGAAACAGGTTTAAATATTGAAACGAAGGCCATCTCCTGGGCACCTTCCCTTGACCACATGTTGAAAGGCTGAGTCTGGGAACCTCTGTCGGGGACCCCTGACGATGGCGCTGCTGGGAGGCGAGCAGGCAGCACCAGGGTGGACCCAGGGTTCAGTTAATGACCATGCTTCCTCCGCAGTGACCACGCCCCAAACTCTAGCTGGACTCGAGGTAAAAATAAGGCGGGGGAGGAAAAACATGCAGGTAACTGCCAAGCCTCGGTGCATGTATCAGCTCACAACTAACCAAGTAGAGAAATAAGACTAGACTGTACAGATNTACAGGGCCCCGAGAGCCCCATCTTCAGGCTTCCCTTCCCCAGTACAATTCATGACGAGTGCGAACACTGCTCCTACCGGGTCCAGCAGCGCCGACCTCACGTCCTCCCCGTAGCGGTTCCGCAGGCACGGCCCACAGAACTGCCCTCGCACCCCGCCGCAGCTCTGGTTCCGACACACCGTCTTGGTGTCGATGGTTTTCTGCCGACACTGATGACAAGTGTTCCCCTGCGGGGAGAAGGTGGTGACTGTGATGCTTCACGCAGTGATGCCTACGAGGCCACGTGCTATCATGCACACGCCTAACAGCAGGAGGACATACCGCCTTCTCCTAGAACCAAACATCATTGCTTCTCTGGAACAAGCCATGGCACCCTCTGGTAGCCGGTAAGCACTTTTAGTTCTGGGGCCAGAGAAGCCTATGAGGGCAGATGAGACTGACTGAGCAGGGAGCCGAGGAAATGAAACCATCAGGTGGACCCAAACGACCAGAGACCAGAGGGAAGGCAGGAAGGTCAGAGCTCGCAGAGGGCGGCATGGGGACAACGGGCCCCAGGCAGCTCGGCTCTGACCGTGCTCCTGCTGGCCTGGCTATTTTCAGTATAAAATTTCTTGGTTTTAAAATGTTGGCAATTAAACTAAAAATACTACCTTAAGACTGTATCTTAAAAAAACAACAACAAAACATGCAGAACAACACAAAGCCTCCCACAACATCGCCATTTAAAAGAAATTTTAACTCACCTCCTACCAACCAAAGATAGTCTCTCAAACTTTAGTTTCTATGGTTATATTAACCAAAAAGCGCATTAATTTTTCAATGTTTCAAAAATAAACATTATATAAATATTGAAACTATAACAATTACAAATGTTTTTCCACCCCTGCCTCCCGTCCCCTATACTATGCATTCCCCAGAGAAACCTCGCCCCTGAGAACTCCTGCACTGAGCCGACCTCGCCGTATTTCCTCCCCCAGTTACAGCTGAGTCTCCAATCCAGGGAGATGACACAGGGTGTAAGCCCAGATACAGTTAAAAAAATACGGCATTTGAAAAACCAGAATCACAATCATGAATTATTGGTCATATGTAACTTACCAGAACTTTATCGTAGATTTTATCTCGAACGGTTATGGCAACGTTTTCTAAGTCCTCTTCCGTGATATCCTCCACTGGCCGAAAAGAAGATATACGGTGACGCCGTCTATACCCTCGGCACTTCCCCTGCGAAAGGAGCCAAAGTAGAACCTGGCGTAAGATAACTCTGAGTGGTTAAAAAAAAAAAACCAGTAAAAGATTTTAAACTCTCAGCGTTCTAGCACCATTGGTGTTAACCATGTCCCTCTTCCATTTCCCTGGAATCACTCGTTCATCGAGTCACGGACAGCGCCTGCCACCCAGTGCTAAGCTTCCTTCATGGCAAAGTGATAGAACAGTCAATGGGCAGCCCAGGGGTGACCTCATAAACGGGCACCTGCGGTCAGCTTGGAGGACTGGGACGTGAACCAGCCTGAACAGCCAAACCCACACATGGGAATGGCCCCAAGTTTCTCGCTCCAGGCTTAAGGCACTTGAAACGCCTCATTCCTAAAACAAAGGCTAGGAGGAATCACTGTACTTTCTCCCAGGCAGAACCACAGAGTCGCCTGGAGCCCTTAACAGGCCTGTACTGCCTCCCCTGGAGATCAAGCTGGTGATCCTAACCATTGGGCTGCTCCTCGGCTCGGCTTAGCTGTCTCGGTGGCAGACAGCTCAGACCAGGGGTTCTTCTGAGTGTGGCCCCAGGAGCACCACCTGGGACTGAGCAGAAATCAAATTCCCAGCTGCTGCAGACCCAGGCAGACCTCAGCACTTTTCACAAGCCCTGGGGAGACTGACGGGGACCCCGGGCTCCGGCAAAGCATAGTTGGTTTACTATGGTCAGAAAATACCCCACTAATTGTCTTCCTTCTTCTGAAACTGTAAAACTCTTCTGCAAACTTGGCGGCTGAGACAGTGAAGTTCTCCAGTGCGAACTTCTCGGGCGGCCGTGCGCTGCGGGTGGGGTTCATTCGCCGCGGGATCTGCCCCTCAGAGAAGGCCCTCCGCACGGTCTTCTTCTTCTGAAAGCAAGAGCACAGACACACGCAGCTGGGCGCTTTCTGGAAGACAAGGCATGTGGCACACGCCTGTGTCCATCTGTATTGGACTAAATAACAGTCAGGAATTCCACTTACAGAAGCCGAGTTCGGGGTTCGCACCGGGAAGAAATCGGGCATGGAGTCCAGTTCTGCCAGTAACTGTGCAAGCTGGAGTTGAGAATGAAAAGAAAGGATCGGACATTAATTGCTGCCAAATGCAGTTCATCCGCCACCATATCCCAAGTCTTCAGTTTTACAGCCATGAGAAGCTTGACTACGGTAGTTTACGTTAAGAGCTCAACGCCTGCTGTAATCGTCACCTCACATGTAAGGCTTTTTAAATCCAGAGGTGAGAGGCTGATACCATCACTCACAGGAATAAAATCTATGCCCATTCCTTATGTATAAGGACACAACATGATGAGAACTGTCCTGGAGTGACCAAGGCCTGGGGCATCAGGTTGGAATCCTGGCCGGGCCAGCAATTAGCAGCGTGACCCTGGNTCCTAGTCAATCCCTGTTCCTTGTCCTCCCAAAGCAATCATGCAGACTATGGCTCGGAAAAACGAGTGGCCCCTGGATAAAATGTGCTTGACTGTTGATGTTACCAAAAAAACGAAGGAAGATTATGGACACCCTCCAAGGGAAGGCGCATATCTGCACGGGCTCCACATGGAAGGTAAGACGCCCCAAGGAATACAAGCGGGGCTATTCAATCAAGGACCTTTCTTACTGAGGCTGAAGTTGGTGTTTGTCCTTTGTTTACTGTTTCTCGGCATTCAGTCACTCATACTGGCGGTTACTTACCTGTTTCCTGATTTTTGTAAATTGAAATGCCAGGATGTGTGTTCAACGTGAACCAAATTTTAAGGCATTGAGGGTAATGGCTATCTTTGCACACATATCTGATGTTAATGCCACAGGGTCATTTAAGACCTACACTGAATTTATTTTGCTTTTTGATATAATTGATTCAAAATCTACTTTTCTCACTCTATTTTACTGCAACACTTCTCCAAGCCTTTAAGATGCCAATGCGAACCTCTAAGGGGGATGGGTGGAGTATGCAATGTTTTCCAAATTTATTTGGCCATGCACTTACTCTGCAGGCTGTTTTGTCTTATCCCCATCGAGATGCTCTTTTTCACAGTACAGCAAGTGCTACAAGTTCAAAGACAGGGTAAAAGAGGTACCTGAACTTGGCATAAGAAAAGGAAGGTATAGTGGGGAGGGAATGTGGTGAACTGGAGACTTCTTATACTGTATAACCATTCAAATTCACAATTTTTTTAAAAGTCAGGGCAAAGTAGTTTGCTTCAGGGTGTCTGGATTGTTATGGCATCGGTTTTCATAAGCAAGTCTGGGTGTTCAGCCTGGGAGGAACGGTCTGCTTACAGTATGTACATGATACCTGGGTAGCAAGTATCTCAGTATTGGGCCAGCTCAGTAAAGAAGCCACTGACAAGTGGTAATGTGACAAAGCCAGAACATTTATTGCCTACAAAAACTACAAGATCAGTATCGACAGGGCCCATCACTGCAACCCTTGTGTTTTGCTGTAGGTGCACGATGGGACGTCCAATCAGGAACCATTGTTGAAGCCCACCTCAAGGAGCTGACATCTGTGATGCCAGTCATCTTTGCAAAAGCCATACCCCTGGACAGACAGGAGACCAAACACACCTATGAGTGCCCTGTGTACAAAACCAAACTGAGGGGCCCCAACTATGTCTGGACCTTCAGGTTGAAGAGCAAAGAGAAGATGGCCAAGTGGGTTCTGGCAGGCGTGGCTCTCCTGCTGGAAGCATAGATGGGACTTCCTCCAGCCTCGACAGGAACGCAGTGAGGATTTTTCATTGTTACTGCACTGTTCCCACACATAGCAACTTATTCTACTGAGAGGCAGGACACATAGTCCAGCTTCTGTAACTTTTAAAACACCAGCCTTAAAAAGTAGAGACGGGGAAGGAAAGGAAGGCAATGTAGAAAAAAAGAATTCTAGAATCTGTTTCTGTTCATTGATTTTCAGCTTTCCCCAGTACCCCGCCCACAAAAAGTACAGTATCGCTCACATTTTCATCAAGGTTCCACTGAACAGACACACAACCTCCAAAACAAAGGGGCTGGAAGTCTCCCCGTCAGTGAGTGGGACTTTAGTTCTTGTAGACGTTTCAACAAAATCTTTTTAAAATTAGCCCTTATGTTCTTTTAAAATACAGAAGCAACTGGCCCCAAGCAGCAGGTGACTCCTGAAGGAAGCAGCAGCTGCTGCCAGCAGTGCGCTGAGGCCTCCAGTGTTGGTCATGTGACAGTCCACTTTTTGTTCATTCAAGTTTTAATAAAAATAAAATTCTAGTACTCTCAAGTTCTGCGGTTAATTGCACTTTGTAATTTAGGGGAACATTCTTCAACATAAATTTTCAATCACCTAGAGCACGTTAAACTACATGGTTTGACCTACGGTCAGGATAAGACAAACGGAAGGGGATAGAACCCCTGTAAAAACTTGTTTGGGAGGTAAAAAATCAAAGCAACATCGATAATTTAAACAGTGTCAAAGGCCAGAGCTACTAATACAATGTTTTCTCTGGAACTTACCTGAACTTTAATCGTGCTTTTTAATCATCTGTAGATGCTTTTAACAATTCAAACAGGCCTGTGTATACATAGAGATTCCTCGAGGTGTTTACCTGAGAAATCTTTGGAAGCATATAAACAATCTTAAAAAAAATAGTATTTAAGATCTACAAAGAATTTCTGTATAAAAACACAACTGTTAAGACATCTTAGGCACAAATGGTACATATGGCATATCTTGTTAGAATACGCTGAGTTGGCTGGTTCTTCTTTTAATTGTCTTCTACCAGCTGCTTTTGTATGCTGAGAAAAAGATGGGAAGTGTTAGTGGGAGGAGAGTACAAAGCCCAACGTGGATCTCTGTTACTCGGTCGGTCCTGACTCCTTTTACTTAAATAACAGTAGGCCACAAGTGTGACTTGCCTCTTTCTAAAACTGTACTTTATAGAGTGTGTTGTGGACTCCAATTCAACTCCTCGTCCCCAGGATGAGATAACCACGTCCTAAGTGCACATCCCCCAAACCTCTCTCACAGTAGGGGCAGGCTGCCCCTGCCTACTCCATATCTATTCTACCCAATGAGGGCAGGCTGAGAATTCTAGCAATGGGGGGAATTTCCTAATAGGGAAAAGCATCAGTTCTGAGCTTTTCCAATGCAGAGATACAGAACGGATGGCACTCTCGGTGGCTTGTAAGAATCAGCCTGAAATGAGGCAACCACTACCTGCCTAGAGAGTCGGCCCTGCGACAACCACCTTCAGTCCTGATTTGTTGACTTACCTCTCCAGATACTCCTTAACGTTACTGTAACCGTAGAACTTGGCCAGATGAATGAGGATCCCGGTGGCGCAGCGGCCATCACGCTTCCGACAGTAACTGCAATTGCAGATCCCCCGGCACGGAGGGCACATCCAACCCTAGGAGAGAAGTGACAGCAGAAGCTCCCTCGTTATCGGCAGGCTCTGGCAAGACAAGGTTCTGATCAAGCCTGGCTCAGCTGACCTCCTCTCCAATCTTTCATCACGTGTCATCTTTTAGTATGTGTCACAGGGGAAAGGATGATCTAATCTGTCTCCTTCCACTTACTGGTACAAAAAGGCCCAGAACACTTGGTCACACATGGAGAAACACTGAAAAATGTTGGTTTTAGACAGGAGCTGCCGACATAACTAGGAGATATTAATACCAGTTCAAAAATTTTGGAGAATTTCAGGAGTATTAGACCAAGCGCAGGGCCCCATACTAACTGCACAGGTCGCATGCCCGGGAAATCGGGCGCTGGTTTTCCTGGTTCTAGAAGCACAGGGTTTTCCAAAAGACCAGTGAGACCTGGGTGTGAATGTTGGGTCTTCCACTTCCCATTTGTGTGAACATTGTTAATTTAACCAGAGTGGCAGTTTATAGTCATCGGCAAATTGGGGCCAGTGTATTTACCCTCATGACTGTTGTAGAAGAGGTTAAGAGCACAGACTGCCCAGGTTCAAGCTCATACTCACTATCCATGAGACTATAATCTCATTTTACAGAAGGCACCGAGGCAGAGGGAGGTATCTATCTACTTCACAAGGGTAAATGAATAACAGATCAAGTAAACTGCATTAATAGATGTGAAACCTCAGGGTAGTGCTGGGCACACACAAC